CACACACACACACACACACACACACACAGGCTCTCACAAGCGCAGCCACAGCCTCGGCGATAAGGAGATTAGCCGCTCGACTCCATCCCCAGCTCCAGAGACGCCGTTCCGCGACCGCTCCAACACCCTGAGCGAGAAGCCCGCCCTGCCCGTCATCCGGGACAAGTACAAGGATCTGACGGGGGAGGTGGAGGTGAGGCCTTCGATCGCGCTCCTGCGTGCTGTGTGCGCATTTGCGGACCCTGGCAGCTTGTTGCAGCCTGTAACCTTGGTTTCCCCTGCAGGAGAGCGAGCGCTATGCGTATGAGTGGCAGCGGTGCCTGGAGAGCGCCCTGCAGGTAAGGAGGCCTGGGGCTGCCGCAGTGCACAGTCTATGTCCCTGCCAAGTCGTCTGCCTTCTGTTAATGCTGAACAGCACAGCCTGACGCACCCCCTCCTCTGGCAGGTGATCAGCAAAGCCAATGACACGCTGAATAACATCAGCAGCTCCGCTGTCTGCACAGAGGTCATCCAGTCGGAGCAGGGCATGGATTACCTGCTGGGTAGGTGGATGGGGACAGCGGCCCGGTGGCCTGTGATTGGTCCAGACCGAGCATCCCCGGCGGTGTGCATGTTTTTAAAGGGGTCACTGTGAAACGCGCATCGTCAAAGCATCACTTCCTGAAGGTGTGATTGGGGCAGGTTAGTGGGCAGGTGCTGTTTCTGAGTTAAGGGTTTGATGGGGCTTTGCTGGCTTCGACCAGGCCGGTCTAACGACTGAAATAGCTGCAGCACATCCTTAGGAATTTGAAGCTGCAGACTGGTTTGCCCCTTCTCTTTATCTTTGCAAGGTTATGGATATGGGGCATGTGATAGGTTTGCAGATCTATGACCGTGTTCCCTCGCTCCTCCCCCAGGTGTGGTGGAGGTGTACCGGGTGACCAAGCGGGTGGAGCTGGGCATCAAGGCGACGGCCGTGTGTTCGGAGAAGCTCCAGAATCTTCTGAAGGACATCAGCCGCGTGTGGAACAACCTGATGGGCTTCATGTCCCTGGCCAGCCTGACGGTAGGCGGGGGCAATGGGTCACGGAGGGCGGGGGCGGGGGCAGGCGGGAGCTCATCGGGGGGGCAGATGGGAGATCGCGGGGGTCGGGCTTGTATTCTGCCTTGTGCTTTGATTGCATGTGCGCTTTATGTGTGTCCAGCCCGACGAGAGCTCCCTGGACTTCTCCTCCTGCATCCTGAGGCACGGCATCCGGAACGCCAAGGAGCTGGCCTGCGGAGTGTGTCTACTCAACGTGGACTCGCGCAGCAAGGTAGGCGGTGCCCGGCCACGCCCCCGTGACCTCGGCGCTGCTGGGGGGGGCGGGGTCAGCTGACTCCTGGAGGCCGTCCCTCACCCACTAACCTCTCCGGTGGCTCTGAACATTTTGCAGGGCGTGAAAGGCAGGATGGTGGGACGGCTGTTCGGATGGGTAGGCGAGCCGAAGGCTCCACATCTTGGGGGCGCGTCTAAACAGCCAGGCTGCTCGGCCCCCGTGGTGCTGCTGCTTCTCCCAGGCCCCGAGCGCAGAGCGTAGCGCGGGAGGGACCTGCAGCAGGAAGCAGGCCGTCCAAATGCGGCTCATGGCTCAGATTCTCTCATTCAAGGCCTTTGATGCTCCGTAGAGCCTGTGTTGTTCAGGCAGCACCTCCTGGGGCTTATGGAGGGGGAGGGGTCAGTTTGGGTCTGTGAAAGAGGCCAGGGCCTCTCATCCACACGCTGACCCTGTTTAAGGAGCGTTAGACGGCCGCCATCTTGCCATTTAAGTAAGTGGGAGGCTTCCCCTGCGAACTCCAGGCCTTTAAATTAGCGTGTGGACGAGACGCTCGGCAACTCGGGAAGATCAGTCGCATCCCTGACTCTTTGGGTAGGTGGTGTTTCCTCTTCCTCGGTCTGGGTTCCTGGGTTCCTGTCCTATCCAATCACAAGCTCCGGTGCAGACACACACCCCCTTCATCCTCATGTGGGATTGGCAGTTGGCTGCAGGCAGGCTGGATCCACTTCTAGGGAAGGGGTGAAACCCAGCCCCACACCTGCACACAAGCTGCCCATCTCTGCATCGAGTCTCCATGTGGGAGTGGAGGGGGGGGTAGGATGGTGCCCCCGCCTGGTCACGCTGTCAGCTGCTGCTTCATCGGGTCTTGCTGGGAGCTGATTCCGAATTGCACGCATGACTGAAATTAAAGATGGTGCCGCTGCTAACCCTGCTAACGCTAATGCGTGTTGTGCTGCTTGCAGGCACTGACCAAAGACAGTGACCGAAGATTCAGGGTAAATATCCCGCATCTGTCACTTTCGGCCCACTTCTCCTGTTAGTGGGCGGAGTCCCACCTTGGGCCGAAGCCGTCAGCACTTAAATTCAGTGGAAGGTCACCCTGAGCTGGTCTGGCTGGCCCCGTCTTGCTGCTCGTGGAGCTGGGGCATATGTGGACTACTGAGCCGCTATAAGCACCATGCAGGCTCCTCCAGCCCCGCCCTGCTGGCACCTGGAGGGGGGGGGGTGTGAGAGAGTGGTGGGCCGGGTCCTTGGATGCAGAGCTTTGGACCTGCGTGAATTGTTTTGGGGGATTACAATTGACTACTGGACCCTGATATTGTTACACGTCTGTGTATGTATATGTGTGAGCTCTCTGAGTATGTCTATCTCTATGTGTATACGCCCGTGTGTATGTGTGTATGTCTGTGAGTGTGTGTACCTGTGTGTGTTTGTATGTGTCTGTGAGTATGTATACATTCCTCTGTGTGCACAGGCTGCCTTGCTGTCCACGTGGGAGGACGATTCACCAGCAATGACTCATTCTCTGCCTGCTCTGCTCTTTCAGAGTAACACGCTCACAGAGACATGCTCACACACTCAGACAGGCCTCTCCGTTTGCTGAATGTCGCTCGGCCATTCTTGTCTCGTAATGGTCAAAGTGCTTTACTCATTCATAGTTATTCTAGGTCGGATGGACAGACATAAGCACAGTGACAGATGACTCCTTGTGTTATTGTCACATGTCCCTGCATCTGTGTACCACGGTGACAGTACAGCTCATTTTAGACCATCTGCTTTTTTTACTGTTGCTAGATTAATGATTTAGCCTCTGCAAGCCCATGAATTTTCATGTCGTCTTGTAAGTGTTGTGTGCGTCTGGCCACCTGGTTGAATTATTTGCTAATTTCGTGATGCCCCCCCCCCCCACCCGGTCTGTCTCCATGCTCTCTTCTGCTGCAAAGGCCTTCAACTCGGAGACGGACAACTTCAAGCTGCTTTACGGCGGCCACCAGTATCATGCCAGCTGTGCCAACTTCTGGATCAACTGCGTGGAGCCCAAACCCCCAGGCCTTGTTCTGCCTGACCTGCTCTGAAAGATGACCCAGGCCTTCCCCTGCTACCATGGCAACGCTGGATGCTGGTTCCCTCGTGCACAGAGGCTTGCCCCAGCTTGTCAGAGAGTGCCAGGACTTTGGTGGCGTAGCTGCTGCCAGTTTGTTTAATGGTGTTTTTCTTCTTGTCCCCCTCCCGGCGCTCTGAGGCCACGCTTCAGCGTGATTTTCATAACCTGCTGGCATGCGGCGTGATGTCGTTAAAATGCCCGCCCTTCCCCCTCCCCGCGGGCTGAAGGTCAGACCATTATTATCCGGTGTTTCTTTCCCCTTGCTGCTACCAGCCGTGCGTCTTGGCCGCAGCGGAGGCAGAACAGCGCCCCCTTGAGGGTGGGCTGAAAACGGTGACGCAGGGTTTTGAGTTTGTCTGAGGGTTGGGGAAGATGATTCCTTCCAGCTATGTAGAGTAATTTTGACTGTCCCTGGACCCTCTGTCCGTCTGTCCGCCTTCAAACAGAACAGACACTCTGTCCTTGCCATCTGGGTCTCCGCCTCCTTCCTGCTGTAAGCCGCCCCCCCCAGCTGAAATTTTTCTGATATGTGGGTATGTAATGCGGCAGTTTTCGGTCGTTAGCTTTTTAATTGTTACTGAACACTGTTACTGGGCATCCAAGTGTGATGCTGGCGTCACAATAAATGCGACCGATTCTGCGTCGCACATTCGCATTACGGCAATGCAAAGCCAGACCTGGATGTATAGTCCTGCTGAGTATGTTGATGATGGCTATCAGGGTTATTAATGAAACTCAATGCCACCGTTATCATCGGTCCGCGCTACACCAGAGTTTGCAGAGTGGGCGATGGTTGAGTTTAACATTCCGCCACGCCGCCCATGAATGATTACTTACTTGTACAGTTAACGCTGGCATTAGATTTGTGTGTGAGCGGAGTGGGTTCTGAATCGTCTTGGTATCCTGGGGACGAGGGTGCAGTGAGTGCTGTGATCACGTTTGTGGAGTTCATCTCTTACCCTGATGTGTAACTTGTGCTTTGAAAAACTTGGTGTGGTGATTTCGTCTGTCCCGGCTTGTGAAAAGCCAGTGCAGTTATGTACTACTGTGTGAGGTCAGGTTACTCACGCTGTCTGCTGTGTTTGCTTCCTTTAGAACCATAATATATAGCAATGGACGTGTCTTTTAACAATAAAAAAAAAAATTTAAAAAAATTATCGGATGAATGTGATTTGTTTTTCATGTTATCCTGCACTGGTTTTTTTCACCTCCTGCCGTTTACTGTGTAAACATTGTTTAACACTGACAATTCGCCACCTGTGTCCTTATGGCGCTGAACCTGACCCAAGTGGGTCAGCATGTTTCGTGCTGGTAAAGGCAGCGTTCGTTTCTCAGCCCGGACGCCTGTTTTTCATCCGAGTCCCCAGGGACCCCGAGATGGGCCAGGTTTTTGCTCCCTCCCAGCTCCCGGAGCAAAAACATGGACAGTCGGGGGTCCCTGAGGACCGGAATGAGACGCAAGGCCTTAGGGGCGACCTTGTGTCCTGAGGACTGTGGACCCCTAAAGGCTGCTGCTGTCTGCATGGTCAGCTTTTTCTACCTCTGCCATGTGTGTTTGAACAATGAGAAGCTTTGAAGGAAAACGCGCTGTATTATAATGGATAGAACTGGGTCAGTGTTGTTGCTTTCCGTTCAGTCGATGGGGCTGCCTTTCATGTCCCAGAAGCCCTTGTCTGTACCCCATTAAGATCACACGCACCCGGTATAATATGGTACTGTGCTGTCAGGAGAGCCACTCCGTCGTGACGAGCTGAATGAAGACTTTCAGAAGCCTGTTAGACCAGAACTGTCACGGGAAGCTAATCAGAGGATCCTTCAGTGATGGTCTCCCTGGACACGCCATCGTTTCCCTGGCATCACTGCCTTCGTCTTTGTTCCACCTGCCACATTCTTTTTTCAGTTTTAATATCCTACTTAAATGTCTTCCCCCCCCCCCATTTGCAGTCGTTTCCCAGAATTCACCTGGCTAGCTTAGAGTAGTGACCCATCTTAGGAAATGCATTATTTCGGATATCGATGCCTGCGGTGTTCGTAATTCTCCTTTGAAATCCTTTGATTTAACATTGAATTCGGAGCCGGAACGGGAAGATTGCCAGCGTAGCTCCCCGGAGCCTCTTCTGTTCTTCCCTTGAGCAGGGCAGTAAAATACCCTAGAGTATAAAAGGAATGTGAAAGCTTCCTCCAAGCAGCCACAGCATAAGAATTCATGGTGTTTG